CCCCCCTGCCTACTTCGTATATAAGCAGCACCTTCCACATCCTATTACCACAGCTACTGCTCTCCGCAGCTATTCAACTGCTCTGAAGATGGAGGCGCTACGTTCCTCCGAAACGTCGGCCAAAACGAAGAATACACGGTGCCTAAACCCAGAAGACAACTTTCTTCATTGTCATCGCCGTGAAAACCTCAAAACTTACATCCTTATAAGATGCTTCAAACCATTCTGACGATTTCAGTTTGTTGTACTGAGCCCAAGAAGAGCATCTACGTTTCTCTGCTCGGCAGTAGTGTGAAAAGAAGGATAAAGAAACCAAACAGGTTCGTCTGTGCCATAGTGCCCCAACTTGTATTCATGACATGCTCGGTTTGAATCTCAGCTGTGGCACTGGCTACCCAAAATGAGGTTTTCATGTTTTTCCTTAGTCCCTGCATGCAAGTTATGGGGTAGTACCTCAATTAGGTCACAACTCCATCCATCCATCCATCCATCCAAATTCTTCCATATTCTTTGTTCATCAATTATCTCATCATATGAGATTGTATACTCTTAATGGTCGAAGCGTTAAATAATTAACTAAAAAAGGGGATAAAAGAATGGCTAATTGAGCTTGCATATGCAGCAGACAAGCATATGAGATAAAATAAACTCACAAGTATTATTGGTACTGATGATGTTTTATGGCAGGAACCCGATTAAAGAAGCTGCCCCAGATGTTTCATAACTATGACAAGCTTCTGGTTACAACATGGGGACATGATCCAGGAATGCTTCCTGTGTCAAACATAGTGTTCACGCTGAATGATGCATTATGTCACTCTGCAGTTCTTGTTCAGGTGGGTGTAGTTTAGCTTTATGGCGATGTTGTTAGTGATAGTAATATATTTGAAGAACACTGTTTTGTGGTGTGTGATGCCATGTAGTCTGACAGATTTTGTTACTGTTACTCTTCTGCTGCAAGGGTGGCGGCGGTGGTACATTCCTCTGAAATGCTGGTAGTGATCTACTGGATTGCATAGTGTCACATCAAATGTATATAAGTACTCTGGTTCTTCTGTGTGTTCCTCTGAAATAGCAGTAATGATCTCACAGACTACATGGTGGGGCATCTCCTGAAGATGGAGGTAGTACAGTGCCTTCAGTGATATAGGAAACCTGGCAGCAGCATAGAGTGGACACAGCATTTCTCACAGATTGCTGCTGTAACTGCTGATAGCAGAATGTGTCATTAGCGCTGATAATGCACGCCGTCAGGTGGTCTGATCTTCTCACTGCAGATAAGTCGCATTAATAATCAGTCTTTGTTAGAGATGTCAATAGGCGATTGACATTTATACTGAAATGAAGTTCATTATTGAAGAGCATGTGTTTATTATCAAAACTTTTGCAAGGAAAAAACTTATAGGAAATGTATGCGTAAGTTTGGTCATAAATATCCAGACTTGCCAGTTTCCACGAAGTTGTGTGTATCCAAGCTTGTGAAACAGTTACAGGCCACAGGTTCAGTTTGTGACATAAAGAAGCAATCGAAGAGGATTGAGCTGACTGAAGAAAAGGTTTGGGATACTGAGGCACGACTACAGATCAGTCCTCAAAAATCGTTAAGATGCTTAGCATGCTTGAAAGCCCTGCACATTGCACTGAAACATCAATAATGATCTACCAGACCACCGCATCACATCCCAGAAGAGAGTACTCTTTCATAGTCACTGCTGTGAGAACCTCAGATCTCAAAACTGTCTGACTACAGACAATCTCAGGTGTAGGGTCACTGCAGTTCCCCCATCATGGTGGAAAGTTATAAGGGATAGTAATCTTATTGCTTGTCCAAGTAATTATTAAACATTGAATGTTGAGATGAGGGAACATGTTCCCTAATTCACTTTCTGTGCTTTACACTTAATAAGTAATTCGTGTATTAAATTTTTGTACATTTAGACTAAAGAAGGCAGTTGCCATCTGTCCCAATTAACTTGTCTTTTTTAGATTATATTTCTTGGGGCCCTGACAAGTAGCAAAATAAGTTGTTTCTTCCCATATCTGTGTTGATCATTGGTCCTTATAAGCGTAAAGAGTGAAGATATTATTGTTTCATGGTTGTCTTGCTTGAGAACTTCTTTTTTAGTCTGAGAACTAAGCTGGAAATCATACTTATATAAGTGGTATCATAATATGTTACAGGGGTATGGTGTAAATCGTGGAGCTGAAACATGTCTAATTCCATTTCCTTCCTCTGGACAGGGCCGTTGTAGAAAAGGTAAATCAGTACTGAGTATTATAAAAGTCACTAGGAACAGAACAGATCTTATGTTTTTTGTGTTCTACTTAAGCTCAGGATTGGTGTGAGTGGTCACCTGTACACACTGGCAATCTTAACTACAAGAACACCCAGTACCAGTGAGCAGCAGGGAAATGAGGAGTTTCACTGTACTATTCTACATGCAGTGATAGGAGAAGTCCCGGTATTGCACAGATCAAATTCTTGGTCATCGAGTCTGTAGCATTATTAATTAGATTGAAGCATCTCTTTAAAGTGTGGTAGCTGTGTGACCTCTATGTTGTGATGTACATAATAGATTTTGTGAATGTTTGCTTATGTGCTTAAAAGTTTTATAAGTTCAAGATTTAAGAACTGATGTGGTCAGACGTATGCTTTAAACCTTTCTTTCTGTTTCAAAGAAATAAAGCAAGCCAGAACACAGATATCAGACCTTCTGACAGTGTACAAAAGTGTACAAAATGCTGTAGTTTAGTGATTATCATTTCTGTTTCATATTTGGGATATCCCACGTTCAGATTGTGGCCCAGAAGCCAGCTATCCTGGTTGAAATATCCATGTTTTTTTTTTACAGTCCTTTCAGTTAGCTATGTGAAAAATAACTTAAAAATAGTCTACCTCTTTTACATCCTAACTTTTGATTCATAGTCATCGTTCCATTTAATGCTGTGTAGTCTTTGCAAATGGGAAATGGTTGTTTAATGTCACATAAGCTAAGAAACAAATAAAGAAACTAACTTGTACTTCTGTCACTAGGTAATGGCAATGGAAAATTAGACTGGAGTTTACATCCTGCAGTCCTTAAATTATCGGAGAATATAGACCTGGTTCACAATTGTGGATTCATCACGATGGTGAACCTAAGCACCAATCGTAGTAATGGTCCAAACATCATGGGTCTTCCTTCTGAGGATGTTATACCAGAGGCCACTCAGCAAATTGTGGATCAAGCCAGCATTGTGGAAGCGTGGATGGCTGCCAGCAGTAGTCCAGTTGCGGGTACTAGGACATCAAACAGTCCAGTGAATGGTTTTACAAGCGAGGAATGTGCAGATATTTTAGAGCAAGAACTGGATAATTTGTGTGGTGAACGGTCCCCAAAAGTCAGAAGTCCTCAGTATGTGCATAGAAAACTGTATGGTGAAACTGACGCTGAAAGGAACCTGAAAGTTGATGTTGACATAAGAACAAAAGATTCTAAAATGTTAGGAGTTGATAGAAAATTGGAAGATGAGCAAGAACAATGGACATTACTAGACTGCTGCTTTGGTGTGCCACTGTTTGATGCAGAAGCCAACTCACAGATATGCGAAGCCATTGTTTCCACTGGGCTGTGGAGGACAGAAAGCCTTGAGAAACTGACAGCATCCAGTCGGAGACTTTGCCTTCGCTTGCTGGACTTCATTGGACATAATCAGGTGATCAGTTTGAGCATATTTATTCCAGTTATATGTCAGCCTTATATGTAAGTTACATACATGAGATGAGTGAGATAAAAAGAGTCAGTTGTAGTAAAGGTCCTGTTATGAAGCCCTTTCAATTCTTATTCTCCCATGAGCCCTTCCTTTGTTTGTCTATATTTCCCCTTCTTACTTATATGGGAGGGGGGACCAGAGTAATTGAAACACTAAAAAATTGAGGGATAAAATTTATTTGTGTTGGTTCCATTGAAAGAACTTCAGTTGGCAACACTGAATGTTCTGTTTGTTTATATTCTGTAGTGCTTGTGTAAGTGCATTAGTGACTGTGTTCAGTGGTAGTCCATGTGGAAGATTCAGAAGGTAGGAGACTTGTCTGATTTTGAAAGAAGATAGATCATTGGTGTGCATTAACTAGAGCATCTGTGACAAAAACTGCCACAGTATTAGGTGTATCAAGAGCGACAGTTTCTAAAGTTATGTTGGCATCCACGAATCATGGGAGATAACATCAGCAAAGAGGAACAGTAGGTGAAAATCAGCATTGACAGATTGAGATCATCATGCATTGAGAAGGACTGTTTAGAAAAATCACAGAACTGCTTTAACACAGGTGACAGCAGAACTGAATATTCATCTTGAAGACCCTGTTTCCACAATAACTGTCTACATTAGCTTCACAAACCCAACATCTGTGGTAGGGCTGCAGTTGCTAAATGTCTTATTACTGAAAGTAATGCTGACATGTGTAAATGACAGTGTCACAACTATAAAACCTGAACATAAGACAGCTGGAAGCGCGCGTGTGATATGGCCAGATGGGTCCATCCTTCACACTGTTCCCTACATCAGGAAGAGCTTATGTTTGTAGAACCCCCAAGGAAGCCTACAGTTCAAAATGCCTGGTTCGGTTCCAACAGTGAAACACTGGGGAGGTTCTGTAATGATTTGGTCAATAACATAATGGTACAGTATTCTGTTGCTCCCATTGTTACCTTTCATGACCAAATTACTGCAAGGGAGTGCATGTACAGGTTGGGTAATGAGATATATCTCATGATTCAGACATTTATTTCTGAACGATGCAGTTTTCCAAGAAGACAGTTCCCTGTTCACACAGCTGGAACTGTTCTGTCATGGTTTGAAGAGCATGAAGGCAAACTTCAGCATCTTCCCTGGCTGGCACAGTCACCAAATTTGAACATCATTGAACCATTCTGGTCAGTTTCTGAGATAAGAGTCAGGTAAAGATTCCCATCTCCAACATCTCTAAAGTAACTTGAAGATGTTGTTCAAGAAGAATGGTATAAAATTCTGCTAGAGACTGTGTAGAACTTGTGAGTCCCTTCCAGGAAGGATTGTGTCTCTATTGAAGGCAAAAGTTCGCCAAATACCATGTTATGGAAAAAGAAAAACTTTGTGGCTTCAGTCTGCAAGCGAACTATACTGATTAAGTGACCACAGCTTGTCGGCAAAGTTAGTACCAACTTTAGCGGATAGAGGGTGTCACGTGGTCAGCGCAATGGATTCCCATGGCCATTAATTTCGGTTTTCTAGACCAGAGCCGCTACTTTTCCATTCAAGTAGCTCTTCAGTTATCCTCACGAGGCTGAGTGGACCCTGTTCCAGACCCACTACTTCTCAGAAAATCTGCAGTATTTATAGTGTGTCCATTATTTTGTCTGACACCTGTATGTGTGTAGAGTAAAACCCCAGTTTATGATTTGTTTTGGGAGCATTGAATTTGAATGCTGAAGCAAGAAAAATTTTAAATACAGGAAATTTGACATCAAGATTATTGGTTTGGAATAATTGAAATTAAAGGTTAAATGAAGGAAAGGCATAAATTGAGGAACATTAATGAGGGTTCCACTGCATATACACACTCACGCATGCATGCATGATGGAAAATTCTATATGATATGGAGGTACTTGATTCCAGAATTATGGATTTATCTGTAATTTTATATAGTTTTCTTGTGTGACTTCCCTTATATCAGAGCAGCATCATGATTTTGGACAAATGGTCTGCTCATTTCATGTTATTGCCTGCGAATGTTGTTTGGGCTGGGTGCAGTGACCTCACCACCTGAGGAATGTAATGGTATGTCTTCTGCTGCTCAAAAACTGGACTCATGAGTTTGAGTCTCACTCACAGCATGGATGTCTTGATTTTTCTGTTGCCCTGTGGATATAGAGACCTTGTATGGGCTGATCCTCCATGCAAGGTGTTGTGTCAGATGTTCATAAATGATTCTAAAACCTGGAAAATTGGAGGCTTAGATTGGATTGAGCTGTCATGCCGTATATGAAGGAGAAGAATAATTTTTAAGTAATTACCAAATTCAGTAGGAGGGTAATGCTGTTGGAATTCATTATAATGCGTTTATAGCATAACTCATTTTTATGATACAGGGTCTTCCTTGAAAAGTGGAAAGCTATATGCATTGTCAAGAAATAGCCTGGTTCAGAGAAGCCCAATCATTTTACCTTGTAATGAGCTGGGCTGAATCTAATTCACACCTTTATAGACTCTGGATCTTCAAGATCCATTTCCTGTAACCCCCCTCCCAGTTCTTTCAAAGTTTAGTAATAATAATAATGATGATTGCAGGACCTGCCTGTGCTCCCAGAAGAAACCAGTGCCACATCGAACAAACGTGCAAGTTTTCCATCAGTAGCTCTGCCAACACGATGTTTAAAATTTAATGAAGGAAAATTACAACAGTGGGATGGCAAGTAAACACAGTACATGATACTTTATTAGATGTACTGGACGATACGTGAATATCATGGTCAGGTCTACAAGAATATTCAGTCATGCACACATTCCATGTTCTAGTTTTATGAATGAGGGTTGATAGTGCAGGTGCAGTGGTTCTTTTCCTTCCTCAGATTATGCATTATTCAGAGTGAAGTATCATCATGGGTTAAAAATGTAAGAGGACTATTCAGGAAGTTACTTCCGGTGACCTGTTAACAAAGCAACAAGAAAAATATTTTATTATACTATAAAATTAACGGCCGTGGGGATTCGTTGCACTGACCACGCGACACCCTCTATCTGCAAAAGTTGGCACTAACTTTGCCGACAAGTGGCGGTCGCTCGGTCGATATAGTTCGCTTGCGGACTAAAACCACGGAGTTTGAGTTTGTTTGTTTGTTTGTTTGTTTGATAAAATATGTACATACATAAGCAGCTTCTCAATGTAGTCAGTACTGGAACTGGGGCACTTATTGTATTGGGACTAAGTTTTTGTATGCCCCTGTGAAAGAAGTCTGCTGCCTGTGAGCTCAGCCATGTTATGTATTCTGAAACAATAGAAGAGCTCTATATTGCCATTCAGAACAAAAGGTGTGGAGTGCTGACACCTGGTGTGGTGCTCCTCCATGACAATGCCTGTTCGCATGCAGCAGCTCACACTTGTGCTGGAGCATTTCAGCTGGGAGTTGTTTGACCACCGTCCTTACAGCCATGATCTTGCTTCTAGCAACTACCACTTGTTTACCTACGTGAAAAAATGGTTGCGATCACGGTGCTTCAGCAATAATGAGTTAATGGAAGGTTTTCACAATGTGGTTGAGTTCACAGGTGGCAGACTCCTTTGAAACAGGCATACAAAAGCTTGTTCCCTGATACAGCCAGTGCCTCAATTCTAGTGGTGACTACATCAAGAAGTAGCATAAGTATATATGTAATTTTTGTATATAATACATTTTTTCTCATATTAGCTTTGTTAACAGCTCAGCAGAGGTTACTTTCCAAATAGCCCCCTTAGTTGACTGATTGCTTATTGTGACTTAAAAATTTTGCCTGGGGGACCAGTTTCCCACAGGGTTTTCTGGAGTTGGCTTTTGCAAATGTGACGTTCACATTCAGTTACAACTGTAAATCTCTGGACAGAGTATTATGTCACATAAATTTATATTTGATTTGCCATTATCTTGTCTTTGAGTGCTTTGAAAGAAGTTGGGTGGGGGGGGTGGGGGTCAAGGCATCAAAATAGATGCACGCTTTTCTGGTGACTTTTACATTTGTCTGACTACTAGATTTTCAAGAGTTTTTATACCCCGTGATCATCATACATTGGTGTTTTAACCAGAATGGAACATCTTGTGGTAGAACTTTCTCTATTTTTCTGTATTCTCCTATAAACCCTCGTTTTATAACTTTGTGCTATCTTTCTCTACTTTGCTCTGTTTACCTTCTCTCACTTGATTTCTTTACCTAGAACCCCTCGGTGGTCTTTTGTTTGGCTGTCCACGTACCACTGTTTAACCTGTACTATATTTTAAAATTACAGGGAACCTAATGTGTTACTGGTTTGTCCACAGATGTGACTGCACTTTACAGTGACAGAGTATTTATATTTCAGTGAGGTATAATTAAGTGGGATGATGGTGATGCATTTGTTGTTATGAAACATTAGGACTTTCCTTCTATTTTACAGTAATAATTTTCAGTTATTCTATCTTAGATTGGTCTTAAAACAAGAGGATGAAACTGAAGTGGTATAATGTAGGTTATGACAAATGTTAATGTTCTGTATTTTGTTATTTCTTCAAAACAGGTATTTTTTCTCATCAACAGTTGAATAGAACATATCCCCTGACTTACCAACAGTTGCGTTCTCGGGACTTTTCACATAACTGCAAATTATTGTTCCGTCTTTGATTTGATCACCTCTAATTTTCATTGAGAAGTATTTCAGTTAACTTTAATAATATCCAATTTAATCATTTATAAGTCCTTATTTCTTTTTGTTTATTCATAGTGTAATTATTTTTTAGACTTAAGTAAAAATTTAACTTACAAGTCTGTTGGACTGTCAAGGAATAAGAAAACAAATATGAAAAAAATATGTAATTATAAATTCAGGATAATCAAAAAATTTTGACTTTCTAAACTAGTTTAAGATTGTTGATACTTTCTGGTATTTTCTTTTTAAATTGTAATCCTATTGCAGCTGTTTTCCGTTAAGGGCTGGAGCTCAGTTACCATATAAATAATGAATTACATGCAGTTGAAACTAACCTTCAGGCATTGGACAAATTGGGTTATAATAGACCTATCAGGACTTGCCCCATTGACCTAATTGGTCTGCTCGTATAGAAGCGGTTAACATAATGCGGCCATAATACATCGTGAGATTATAAAAATGTATCGTGAGACTATATGTGCAATATACAGATGATTGTTGAGGATGTTGTCTTCTGGGATGTGATGCTATTTATGTGGATAGGTTCCAACATTGCAGAGGAAAGTGCTGCTTCCATCTTCAGGATAATCTGTTAGCCCAAAGATAGAGGCAGTAGTTTTTCTAAAAACTGATGCCTATCTGCAAAGCTACATTGTGTCATCTCTGAAGACAGTAATCATCATGGTCACTGCTGTGAGCATCTCATATCTCAAAGAGCTGATGGTTTCCTTCACGAACTACATGACCTTGGGAACATACATAAGTAAATGACAGAAGGAGTAAGGCTGGCTCATGAAGACCGTCAAGTCTGATTATGGGCCTCTCATTATGGCTAGCCATAAGTAGCATACAGTGGATCAGTGGCAAGATGAATAATGGTTGATAGAATTATGTATAAGGCTGTAGTGTCTGATGTATATATTTAGGAACAAATATTTTTGAGCTTATGACATTTTGATTGATGCTTAAGTACTTACAGATTATTTTAAGCATTTGATGACATTCTTTCTTTGCATAATAGAACTGTGCTCATTGAATCAGTAGTATGATTACTAAATTACAAAACTCGAATCAAATTTAAAGCGTATAAAAATAATTTACAGAGCTTTTAAGGTACAATGTGATGGTAGTATGAACATATGGAAAGTGAGAGACCAAAAACACATTAATTAGAAGTAACGCTTCAAATAACTGAAGGAATGAATTTGAAGAATGTGATACCTCTGCAGATTTTTTTATTTTCGCAAGAATATGTGATGGTTTTGATTGAGAATCATTCCATATGGGCATATTCAAGAGTTTACTGTATTTTGTTCCAGTGTAATTTTTATATATTTAACATTTGTTTATTAATTTTAATTGACTCCTATTATTCAGTCTAATTGTAGATTCAAACAATTTTATATGCATAGACCTTAACTTAATTGTAAGTTCTGCATACACCAACATAGTCAGTTAATTGGTGCTATGATATTATTTTATTTGTGTCTCAAATTGTGATTGTTTTGATTGTGATTTTTGAGAGACTTATTAAGTTGCCCAGTGACTGGGGTTATTGTTAGGGACTCTACACACTGCGTTTTGCACAGAATAAGGAGTAATCTATACTTTTACATGTAAAATATGAGTTAGGCCTACTTACTTTCAGAATTCAGGATGCTTGGAGTATAGCATGCGTAGACAATTCTTCTAATTATATCAGACTTGTTCTAAATTCAAAATTTTGTCAATAATATGTTCTGTATGGTTTCTATGTCCTATAGAAACAGTAATCATTTGCTTCCTAGCTGTATTGAGAAGATTTTTAAGTGGTACAATTAGGGGAGTCTGTCGTATACATACTGTGTAGACCAGTGGTCCACACTGGGAAAAAACCGTGATGAATCTGTGATTTAACATCTAGAATCTCCACAGAATATAAGATTATGTTGTATGATTTTGTTCCAAGTATGTGGGAAAGTACTTCATACATACACCTTTTATGTAATATATTAAAAGACAGGAAACGGTTATGAAGATTTTCTCAAGGGCAATGAAATGTTGCACACCAGTAAATATGGTAAGTTCTCCATTCTTGAACAGCATGAGTTGAATTTGACATATTTGACTAGATTTAAGGAAGTTACTGCGTTATATTCCAGGTTTCATTTTTTTCTTTGCATTCTCAGTACAGAATGAATAAAATGAAAATATAAAGGGAAGTCAGATCCGTTCTTCTATTGAATGTGTAAGAAATTCTCATTCAGTATTCTGACAAGATTTGTTGTTTCAATCTCTGTAATGTGAAGTGTACATTACCAATTTGTAAAATATTTTAAAAATTCAGAGAGATATAGAGTTAAATTGGTTATTAATAAAATAAAGGTAATCTGGTTTGCTCTTGGTTAACATGGTCCCATTTATAATCCTTGCTGTTCTTCTCTAGTACAACCCGAGGAAGCTTGAACACAGTGTTAATTGGACATATTAACCCTTTGCATGCCATGTACTGACTGTATCAAACTTTCATGTAGGATGAGCCCTGACTTTTGGTGTGTAGAATTTAAACATTGCAACTGAGGCAGATCCAGTAGCAGAGTGAGACAGCAGATGAGCAGCTATTGCCAACTTAGCCTCTTTTGAAATTTGGGCCAAGGGTCTTGGCATTTGAACTGATCTCTTCTTGAATTAAAACCACCACAGATGAAATTGGCTCATCATTAATCATTTAGAATAGTAGTTCTCTCATTTAGATGACATCAGATGTGACACCTTGATGTTTAGAAGAAAGAACTGGTTTTGACAGGAAATGTTTCTGATGTTTATGGTCATTTCTGGAATGTTTTATGGATTTTCTTGTACAGCTGCATTTACCACCAAACAGCCTTGGCGTTTCTGTTGGGTAATTGTATGGAGAGGCTTGGCAATCAGAGGGTTAAATAAATGTACAACCAAGGAAAAAACTGTTGTAGACTTTGTTAGCAATACCATTAAATATATTTGGACATATTTCTCATGATGATAGGTTAACATTACTACTATTAATCTGTAGTTCTATTTTTGTACTACTATTGTAGAGAATGAAAAATATATACATACTGACTTGAGTGTCTGTAAAATATTGTAATATAGATATGAAATATAAAGACTTGTTAATGTTATGTACATAATTATTTCATTTTGCTAGTCTTTGTAATTCAAAAGACAATCAATAAAAGTATCTAAAATTCACTGCTGGGACAAGTCTTGTATATGTCCAAGTTGAAGTAAAATAGCACCCTGAAAATACATGCTGTGAAATTCAAAATATTTATTTACATGTATTTTCAGGTATGCCATGGAAGTAAAATCATGGTCTTTTCACTAAGTGACCCTTTGTAGTTCGGTAGTTCCGTACCAGTGTTTCAGTCATTTGTTGCCTTTGTCTCATGATACTGTCACCACCTTGGGAACCTTGGAGCATTTTCATATTGGTTTCTGTATTTTTTAATATAAGAGGTATAACTTAAATTTCCTGTTCTTTCTGCTTGTCCCAGCTTTGCTAAGATTTCCTTTGTGTAATGTAGTTAAGAGCTCATAGAGGTACTGATAAAAGAGGAATCTCATGCCTTCTCATTCAGAATCTGAATTTGAATGTTCCTTGTATATGAAGATCCTTATACTGTTCTCCCTATTTTATATAAAACTACATTTTTGCAAAGTTGCCATAGCATGTCTGTTGGCTTCACCTTGTGTGTCTGTATGTGATGGCTCGGACTCCTGCACTGCTTTCCTTGAAATATGTTATAGACAGTACTGTCTTTTTGGATGCAACACCATATAGTCTGTACAAGTTTATCGACGTTTCAGAGGAACATATTGCCTCCATTTTCAGGGATGAAGAATATGCCAGGCAAGCAACCAGCAAGAAGCAAGCAGTAAGCAGACCTCTGCTTGCTTGACCTAATGAACCCTTAATATGGAGGCAGTGCATTCTCCTAGATGTTCAGTACACATCTACCAAGTTATGTGTCATAACATCCAGCAAGATGATAGTGAGAGTACTTTTGGAAAATTTAAGCACATAGTACCAGTTCCTGCACAGTGGGAGCCCCTAAAATCAGGGGGCCCATGGAAGCTGTGCACTTTGCTCATCGGTTAAAGTGACCCTGATTAAAAGTACTAATATTTTTATTTTTTGGCATATGTTTTTTTTCTGCCTAATTCAATAAAAACTTTGACAGGTCTGGAGATAATCTTATTCATTATCTGTAGTTGTTTGTTAGCCAGAAGTTGCTAGATGCCTAAATATTTTAAAACAATTTTTGCTATTGAAATTAATGAACCCTTCTGTTAGGTAACAAGGATAGACTGCATAATGACTGTAGTGTTCAGCATACCTAGAGAAGTTGGTTACAGAATCTTAAGACTTAACAATATTATGTAATGAAACTATTCTCTCTTCTTGTGGCAGGTAATTTCCTCTGATTCAATAACCAAGCAACCTAAGAAGTATCCTCCTGTAATCTCCCCTGGTTTCTTCTGTTATGATGGACCACAGCTTTGAATCGTACTTCTCGACGTAACAGTCTTTTATATTGGCAAGGTCCATCTGTAAGGTAAATAATATTAGATCAATTCAAAGGATAAATTCTGTGCTGTAACTTAAGATTGTTCCTGAACTATCAAATTTAAAAACTTTACTTTTATATACTACAGTATCCTTGCATCAAAGTTAATCCAGTCTGAAGAATGCAGTCTTCTGGGATGTGGCACCGTGTAGTTGTGTTAACCGACGTTTCGGAGCAGTCTGCTTGTACCGGTTCTCACGGTCTCTTCGCTTGTGGATTACTTATTTTTCCTTCTAACCTGAAGATGGAGGCAATACGTTCTTCCGAAACGCTAGTTAACACCACAACTACACGGTGCCACATCCCAGAAGACTGCTTTCTTCATAGTCACTGCCATGAAAACCTCAAATCTTACTAAATCCAGTCTGTTTCTAGTGATGAACTTTGACATAAATTTTTCTAATGTGTTGTGTTAAGAAGTGTCCATTAAGTGTAAGACAGAATCTGTGGCCAAGGCCAATTTTCCTGACAAATATTTTTCATAATTGTCTTCGGTGACTCTAAGAATATGTTAGGATAGTATCTAAAATATACTTCTTACCATTGCTCCTAACTCACTATTATCTTCACACCAGTACACGTCTGACACTGCATAACATCTGTAGTCGATACACACAATAAAATAACTAAAGATAGTCATAAGCTAGGCATTAAACCCCATACGTGTTTTTTCAACAGTTTTCTGGTCTTCATCAGAAATGTATGGGTGGCTCCTCTCTGTCCGTACGTCTGTCAAAGCTTCATTGTTATTACCACTTAACTGCATTATTCATAATGAATCTCATTACATAAACTTTTTAACATTAAGCATATGTTCAGTTTCCATATATCCCTTCATCTCTGAAGAACGCTAGACAGGTTATTATTTTTAATTCAATTGTAACTGCACGATTCAGTAAATGGAGAAATCAATGATAAAAGAGATATTTTTTCAATTATCAAATGGAAGAAAATTGTTTTCATTTTGTTTTTAATAACTACTAGAAATTAGCAAATTGAAGAACAAAACGTTACCTCTGACCTAGCTACTAAGAGCCGAATCAACTGGTAATCATTAGGTTCAGGGTCTCTGAATGCAGCCCTTATTTGGTCTGTGAAGAACTCGACAGGGTCGTTTACAGCCTTTACTGTAACAAAAAGAAAACTACAAATCTTTATTAAGTCTGTCACAACACAACAATACAGTGTATTGTTGTGACAGACCTAATAAAGAGTTGTATATAATAACACAACAGGATGCAAGAAATGAAATGAAAGAAAGAAAGAAAACTGTTCCACATATGAAGAAAGCAGTCTTCTGGGATTTGGTGCCGTGTATATGTGGTGTTAACCGACGTTTCGGAGGAACGTATCGCCTCCATCTTCAGGGTAGAAGGAAAAATATAAGAAATCCGCAAGTGAAGAGACCGTGAGAACCGGCAAAACAGACTGGAGGCGATACATTCCTCCAAAACGTCAGTTAACACCACATATACACAGTGCCAAATCCCAGAAGACTGCTTTCTTCATAGTCACCGCCGTGAAAGCCTCAAATATTACATAATGTTCCTCATATGTTCCAACTGAATGTGGAAGAGAGCGGGTAAAGCAGAATAGCAATGTGATTTACATTGGGAGTCTTTCACTCAATCAGAATGACATTTGTCATTTAGAAATCTGCATATTTACCCTCGTTATCAGGTCTGCACAGATTTCCGAAAAGCTGGAGCCACAGTAAAAAACACAATACCCCAGCTGAGAAATCTTGGTTTGTTAACAAAAGGACAAGTGAAATGGCTCCGTATTAATAATGACAGTAGCATAAACAAAAGTGATGGGGAAAGGAATACAGGAGGAAGGAGACAAAGACAAAAAAGTCATAATGGAATGGAAAAATGGGTGTGAGTGAACTGTTTTAATGTGAAGGAGGGGGAAGAGTGAAGGGCACACATGATGATAGGACAGATAAATAATAGTAATTGGAAAACTGTAAAGACATAGGAGAGGAGATAAGCTACAAAATGGACAGATGAAAGGATGAAACAAATGCTAGTAGGAATGGGCTAGAGAATTGTAGTTGTAGCAGTGACCTGGCAACTGGAAGTTTTCATGTGACTGTTTATGATATTGGTTTAGTTGTTTACTGCATACATTTAAGACACACATGAGAGTATCTTTATTTCTATCATAAACCTACAATTAGTACAGTGATTTTAGAACACTGCAGAGCAAGGACTGTGGAAGAATAATATTAAGGATTTCAGGTAGTTTGTATACCACATTAGTAATGAATAGCTTGTAAAATCAGAAAAATCGGATCATCCAACCCTAATCCTAAACAAATTGAGGATGTATCCTTCTTTTGGCTTACCAAGAGCAAGCAATCCATCACGAAGTCCTCCCCGGAAATCGAGACGGATACTGTCCTCAATGGGATGCTGCTTCAGTGCTTGGAACTCGGCAAACATCTCCCTGAGGTGTGAATAACTGCGTCTGAGCAGTAGTTCAGCAATAACAGCATCGTCTGTTCCATATCTCATTCCCACACCAGCATGGGCCAGCATCTGTGGGGCAGAATAGAAAGCTTAGAAGAATGAGTTACACTAATTCTGAATAGATATTATTTAGACTATAATAACACAACAATCATTATATCTGAGAATTGAATCGACTACTATTACTGATGGCTCTATGGCCCAGTTTGGGCCCTAGCTGCTTGTGAGACATTTTTCGATTCACTCCTGTCTAATGCACTTCATCTCTATCTTCTCACACTAAGCATTCTAAGGTCATCCTCTATTCCAGTGGTTCCCAACCTGTGGTCCGCGGACCCCTGGGGGTCCGCGGGATAGTTTATTTTCATTAAACTTTATCTTATCATGTTCCTCCCACCTGGGATATTTGCAATGTATATGTCTGGCTCTTGAGGCCCATGGTTGAAGTAAAATTTAACGGGACCGTTGGTACTGTAACGGTACCTTCCCTTTGTAAAGCAGAGGTGAATAACCAACGATCTGTGTAGCTTTTTCCAAGGACATTTTCTTTTGGCCGGCCCATTGCACCTCAGACCCGTGTTTCAGGGTGGACTGTTGTCCTTACCTGCTGTCTGACCAGTCTCCCCCTCCTCCCCACAAAATCCATCCCCCTTTGGTTGGGAATGAAGCTGGGACCATTGACCATGTTTCTTATTCATCTCAGTGGCAGAGTGAACAACCTGTGTGTCTTTAGTTTTTGTGCAGTGAATTTTTATAATATTATACGAGTGTGTTTTTCTCGGTTTAATATTCAGTTTTTCTGCTCTTGTTCAAATAATTGAGTTCACAACGAAACTTCTGATTTTAAGTTTGTTCACGATCTTATTTAGATATGGATCAGCGGTTAAAGTGTGGATCTTCGATTAGGTGAGTGTTAAATTCATAATATTAGGCCTAATTGATATGTTCGTGATCTTCCGAATAAGCTCCATTTATAACAGTATTTTATTGTCATAAATGACACATTTAATGTTCTAAAATTGTAAGTTACTGCTTCACTTTCATGATATGTAAAATATAAAAAAAAATTCCATTTGGGGTTTTATGGGGGCTGTGGTCAATTAACATTCGCTCCGGGGGGTCCGCGGCATCAAAAAGGTTGGGAAACACTGCTCTATTCCATCCATAAATCTCAGACCTGATCTTCCAACTCTTCTGCACCCATCTTGTTTTTGGAGGGTTAGATATTTTTAATAGGATCATAGTTCAACTTTTGGATAACTTGGCCTGGCCATTGTAATCATCCAGTTTTTATGGTTTTAACAATATGTGGTTCAGGAAATATTTCATATGATTCATTGTTTCATCTTACATGCCAAAATCCATTCTCACACACTGAGCCAAATATCCTTTGAAGCACTTTCCTTTCAAAGACCCTCAAGACTGAATTGACTAGATAATTCAAAATAATTGGAAATTAATCTTTTGTTTTGTACACATTATTCAGGATCAAATGAGATGATTATGTATTGGAACAGGAAAATACTGAGAAGGAAACAATCATGAGTATGTTATGGTATTATTCCAGTGTATGCCTCTTGATCTGTGAGAGGAGGTGAGGCGAGAGAACCCGTTTGGGGCATTCTCAACTTTGGCCTGCAAGGCTTCATGTTGAGCTCTATTCCAGTGAGAACAAGATCATTGTTGTACCTACCTGAGCCTCCTTGTGGGCCTGATATACATTCACTTCAGTCTCCTCTCGTTCTGTAGTTAGAAGGATCCTCATGAGGCGTCTCAGATCACTGTTCATCTCTCGTTTCACTGCCATGTCCAAGCTCCGGCCATATTCTGAAAATTTTCCACAAGACGATGATGATGGACAAGAAAACAGGCTTAAATAATTCATTCTGAAACAGTTTATTTACGTTCTCTAAAAGGTTTTGGACTGACAGGAACAGTGTTTACCTCTGATGTTCATCAATTTTGTCCATTCAGTATTTCTGCCTCTTGGTTGGACCATAGATTAATATCAATTATTATTATCATCATTGTGTAATTTTTCTATAATTGTTCCCTTTGAGAACTATTTATGCATATTTTTACCCATATTGATTACTATACTGTCGGATGTAATTGGTTTCTCCGTGAACTTGGATATCACACCATACTTGAAATGAGAAAAGATGGGAGGATAATATTCAAGTGGATGTTAAGGATGAAGAATTGTAGAGAGTGACTTGGGGCCATATCCAGTAGTGTAGTTTGATATTAGAGATGTTGAACTTACAGGACTACTAATACCAGAGAGTTAGTTTGCTATGTACTAACCAAAGAGACCCTTTGTAAAGCTTGAAGATTCTATGATTTTGGAATTAATTTTTTTATTGTGCCTTGTGCCCTCTAACGTTCTGAGATCCTATTGTAGCACATTGTCTGCAATCTGTATAGTTTTACTTTCCTGCTATCAAGTTACAGGAAAAATAAATCCTAAGTTTACTTACTCTTATAATATGATTCTTTAATTAGCCGTATTCTCGAATTACTTCGTCCACAGAGCAACTCCACCATGACTGACTCCTGTGGCCGAATTGTCTGCATAGAAATAGATCATTAGTAATTAGTATGAATTAAATTGTTAACAAAATTAAGAAAGTTGCTTAATCTAGGGATTGAAAAATATTTTTACTCTAAAACCAGATGAAGTTATTTCGAAGTTACCGTTGGCACCAGAGCCTATTAAATAATATACTGTACTTTAAAAGTTGATAATTTTCTACCAGTTATTTCGTTTGTTGAATAAAATTTCCACATTGAAATAAATAAAATAATTTACAAATAATCAATTCGCATAGCATGACGATTGGAACAAATCCGTCCCTTATAGCAGCGTTATATACCGTATTTACGCATGTATAGGCCGCACATTTTTTGCCAAAAATTCAAGAGGAAAACTGGGGTGCGGCTTATATTCGAAATATTCGAAATCACACTTCATTTAAAAAAAATTATATTCATAATTAGTAATACAGGGTGTAATACTCCTGAAATAATATTCCAAGAAAATTATTTTTTCTATAATTTCTGTCTGAAAATTGTGCTGCGGCCTATACACGCACGCGGCCTATACATGCGTAAATACGGTATTTTCAAGGCCGTGAAAAGTAACTGGATCAAAGTCTAAATTAGTTTGGTTCTTTAAGCGTGTATTTTATATATTCGTAATCATTGGATGTTGTAATTCGATTGTGAGTATTCAAATCTAAGCATTTAATAGGCTGATGCATATATATGTATTAAGAAATTTGAAGCATTTTTGATAAATTTGCGGATTTAGTGAAGGATGTTCATCCGAGCAATAAAGCCTGACCGTGTTTGAGGAGTTGCCGAGCTAGCACGGCGAATATGCTTGCCTTGCTCTGCGAAACAAATGGCTGGCTTTTATAGCGAAATAACACGATTCATGTTAATTAAAACTGCCGATCTACTTAAAAAGCTTTTGTTGATTGTTCGCAGATGATCGCAAAGAACGTGGCAAATCTGCTGTTTGATATGAGCCGTTAGAGAGTAAAGTGTGGTCATTGGTCTCGTGGGGCTCAGACCCAAGAATCGCTGTGCTGGCGAGGACCAGGAGAAATTTAGCCGTCAGTCAGACAGTCAGTCTACATTTAAAGATTCAATCAACAGAATTTATGTCGTAGAATGTTTCGTAATTTATTTTCTTCCACGTGATTTCAATTTCTTCATTTATCTAGTTTTGTTTTACTACACATCCTAGATTTACAGTATCAGCCACGAATGATTATGGCGGTTTCCTTGTTAATATCAGCGGCTTATTGCATAATGTATATAGCGATTTTGTTGCTGTTTTTTTAATATTCCAAAGGCAGTTCAAAGGCGGTCTCCTGTGGCGCTGAACATTGCGTGCTTATCACGACCATCCAGTTACCTAAACAAACACCCACACGTTGCTAGGCAACGCGCATGTCTGTACGGTCACTAGACTCCACAGACTGTACTCGCAGTCCTGCGCAGAACTAAATACACCTAAGTCACATTTAAAGATGTTTTATGCGTATGTAACTACAGTAGCATATGTTTCATGATCCAGCATGTGTTTCTGAAACAGATCAGATGTTGAACTCTTTATTATGAACTCTCTACTACTGGATGTGATACTCTTAAGGAACATGTTTCTTTGATTATAAGGGTCCTTGGAACGAGCTTCGAGTGAGAAATGACAAAGAATGACGAGTTGGAAACAACCTGGAAGGGAAACGATTGTGATCTATTTGAAGATAGTAGTTCTGCGTTTCCTGGAAGAACTGCCAGAAACCACGGAAATCAGAAAAATCGGAAACAGAGCCGAAATTCGAATCGGGAAATTCCAGATTAAGAAACATGAATGTTAACTTCTGCATAGCGACACCATACAGACATAAATCCGCAAACACCTCATTAATTTGAGGTAAAGATTTTGAAAAAGAAATTAAGCTTTAAAATTAACATATAAATCTCTTATATCTATAAAGAACAGCGCGTGACTGTTTATTTGTTCTTTATACATTTCGACTTCATACCACATAATTCGATCAAATTTGGTATGGTGATAGAGGGCCTCCCTGGGAGGTTTCTGCATTTAATTGACCCCCTCAAATTTATGAAACCTTCCCAAACTAATTTTTATTGTTGCTCGAGAATAATTTTTGCTAGGTTACTGAGATGTATTTTTCCTTTCGATACAGATAAAAAATCTGGCTTCTTGTATCTGTTATAGTTTTTATAGTACTTAATTTTGAGTTTTCTAATAATAAACGACAGCTTTTAAACATTCATAGGAAGTCCAGGATTATGTAATTTCCATACAATTCTGTTGCTTTATATTATTAAGCCGAAAATTATAATATACGTTACGCCAGGTGGATCGGTTAGTATGTTATAAAATAGTGCTTTTATTTTAAGAAATCGGGTTAGAAAGAGTAAAGAATATTACTGGTTGCCCGCATTTGCCCTTCCAGCCAATCATCGCACAAATTGGTCCTGACAGTACCTTGAGAGTCTTGTGGATGTTATCCGCCACGAAGTCCTGTGGTGTCTGAAGCAGCGATAAAGCGACATCTCTGAAGTGACCCCCAAGTTCATTGGCAATGTCGATCTCCAGTTCCTGAAAATTATTAATTATCTGTAGGCCCACTCTGTACTAAATACAGTAAACCCTCGTTGAAACGGATGCATGGGTTTGCATTTCTACAGACTGATAAAAATGTAGTAAATTTTGTTTGTGGGCTACTTAGAAAAGTTAATAGACTGTGGCATATTTGCTCGAAGCAAGAACTGTGGAACCAGAGAAACAGCCGTTGTAACGAACGGCTCTGAAACAAACATTTGTTTCTATGCAACGGCTCGGTAAACACATTCCCGCGGCAACAGATATGCATGCAACAGTAGAGGTGCTGTTGTAAACGGTGTTTTCTACTCGGTCCTAGCAAAAGGGTTATGAGGAAGACAATTGGGACAACGGAGTCACTAACCCGTGTTGAGGCGGCGTCGAATACCTCTACTGTAGCCCTGCGAGTCGTAGGAGGCGACAAAAAGGGAAGTCTCAAATCTGAGACAGTAAAATATGGTCGTGAGTCCCAAGGGATGTACAGACAGGTACTACTTCACAGTTCATATACATCCTGCAAAGAATGCCTTGTTCCGAAATTTACGTTCTGTTCCTACTATGAAGAGAGTGAGACTTAAATGCACCACTTTCGACATACATTGCCAGAGTTCCGTCTCCGCTCTCATAAAACGATTTATTGATCTGGGAACACTGCTGACTCCAGGACATGTGATCACGCACGCTTTAATGATGGACGTCTGTTTTAAGTCTGGAAACCCGTATTTTTTTTCTAGAAGTGGTATGTTACAAAATGCTTTCATACTTAAGTCGCAAATGGGCTCATTGTACTAACCCCGGATGATAGATGGGCAAATGAAGTACTGGGGAACGGTAATTGGCAGGGGAAAACCGAAGAAATTGGAGAAAATCCTGTTTCTTTTTTCTGAATTCATATCTTAACACCTTGGGAAAACCAGTCAAAAAGTTTAGGGTGTTCTGTCCTCTTTACTTCCTACTGTTGTATTTTATGCCTTTCGGTATATTTATAAAGTGTTCTGACTCAGTTTCTGCCTAAAAACGTTAAAATTAGAATATACAAAAGTGTAATTTTGCCTGTGGTTCTGTATGGTTGTGACACTTGTCTCTGATATTAAGGGAGGAACATAGACTGAGGGAGTTTGAGAACAGGGTGCTGATGAGAATATTTGGACCGAAGAGGGATGAAGTGAAAGGAGCTTCGAGAAAACTGCATAATGAGGAGCTTCATAATTTGTACTCTTCTCCAAGTATAATTAGAATGATCAAGTCAAGGGCAGGAATTGTAGCACAAATGGGGGAGAAGAGGAACGCATGTATGATATTGGTGGAAAAGCCAGAAGGAAAGAGACCACTAAGAATATCACGACGTGTGTGGATAATATTAAAATTGATCTCAGAGAGAAAGGATGGGGTGGTATCGACTGGATTGATCTGGATGAGGATAGGGACCAGTGGAGAGCTCTTGTGGACACGATAATGAACCTTAGGATTCCATGAAATATCGGGAAATTCTAGATTAACTGCGCAACTGGAGGCTTCTCAAAAAGGGCTCAACTCCATGAAGTTAGTTAATTAGTTCTCTCAGTTGACATAATTATGCAATAATTTTTAGACTACTTCAATGGTTTTGAAAAAATAAAGTAGGCTTATGCTACCTCCAAGCTGTGTGTGTCTGTGTATCCCTCCATCAACTTTGGAATGGCTAAATCAATCTTTATGAAATTTGGTGTGTATATCATGGCATCTGAGTCCATCTCAACGGCGCACTTCATAAATTCCTCCAACCAGTCTGTGTGTCTGTGTGTGTATCCCCCTCTCGTTGCCAGACTACGGCTCGGTAAAAACGTTACAGTCAACTAATACACACGAAACAATAGAAGAACTGTTGTGCGCGTCGTATCAAGCCAAGTAGGCCATTATTTCTTCCCAGAACTTCTTGTTACATTACGGACTGATTCTCTTCAGGATTTTTCGATCCCCTGTCATCTCCATCCAGGACCCAAGTAAAAATAATTACCTATAAAACGCGTGGAGTTTAATCTCCATGATATGTAATTGTTCTGCATACTTACTTTGACATAGAGAATTTTGTAATGTCGTTTTATCTTCTGCCGTTGGTGATTGCTGTGACTTGTCAGAATGTTTATGATTGCTACTGCATCACTTTTTACTCCCTGGAATGCTGCGTTCAGTTGTCGGGCCGCTAGTTCGGCGTTCAAGTTTGGATTCGGCCGAACAGTTCCCTGAATGCACGAAAGCAATTGAATATTCTGCATGCATGTAAAGATAGGAGTGGATTATAACGAAGTTTATTATTTGCCATTTAAAATATCTGAATTAAAAAATTATAGATTAATGTTTAAGAACCGGGATAGCGTAGTCGGTATAGCGACTGGCTACGGGGTGGACGACCAAGGGGCCAGAGTTGGAGTCCCTGTGGGGCCAAGAATTTTCACCTCTCCACGTCGTCCAGTCCGGCTCTGGGGTTCACCCAACCTCCTATCCAATGAGCACCGGGGTCTTTCTCCCCAGGGGTAGAGCGGCAGGGGCGTGAAGTTGACCACTCACCTGCAGCTAGTGCCGAGATCAAGAAACTGTGGATCTATACATCCACTACCCCATACGCCTTCATAGCTTAGTGCTT